AATCCGTTGCGCGATTCTCACGCGCACACACCCACGCGCGTGGTAGTGTATATTTCCATGTTCTGGCGGCGGATGCATTTGACTCCTACTTCTCCTATCGATGGAAGTATCATGGGCCAGCCCCGTGCCTCACACGCACACTCCCATACACACACACACATACACACACACACATACTAAAACAAATATGGTAGTGTACATTCCCACGATATAGCGGTAGATTCATTCGTTTTTGCTCATTCCTATTTGTCGGGAGTACTGCGATCACAGCAGCGAGATTTCATGACTTACTTGTTCGTTCTCCGTGCTCTCTTCAACACGATCTGCCACGACGAACTGCCCGCTGAGCCCGCAGTCGGAGACTTGCCCCGTATAAGCGAGAAACTCCCTGCTGATCTGCCTTTGCCAGCAATCAGGTAAGTGAAACTTGTTTCTCCTTCTTTTCTCCTTCTCCTTCTCCTCCTACTTCCTCTTCTTCTCCTTCTTCTTCTTCTCTTCTTCTTCTTCCTACCTCTCTTCCCTCTCGCCTGTCCGCTCGTCTGTCCGCACGCTCACCCTCGCAAGCTTTTGCTCACACGCTTCTTCCTTCTTGCTCGTAGCACGCTTGCTCTCACAAGCTTGTTTCCGCTCACGCCTCGCGCTCGTCTGGACTTTCGCACGCTTGCACGCTTGCACGTTTGCTTACTCGCACGTCTGCACGCCCTTCACTCACGCGCCTCTCTCACTCGCACATTCGCCCTCGTGCACTCGCCCCCACCTCCTACATCTACTTTGCGGGGTTCTCTCCTTCGTGTTAGACTGCACGTTCACGCATCTGCACGCTCGCATGCTTTGCTTGTTCGCATGCTTGTACGCCTGATAGGACTCGCTGTGGTTCGCCTCCTCTTCCTTTTCCCGATTACCTGCGTGCTGGCTCGCCCGCTGGCCACTGCACCCCTGCTCACACCTGTTTACCTTCTTCGATCCGAGTTCTCCTGCTTGCGGCCCACTTCGCCTTATGCTCTGCCATGAATCCATCCCTAGATCCTGAGCGGATTCATTCCCAAACTACTTTAAGGGAGAAATAATAATAATAATAATAATAATAATAACAATGATAACCTTTACTGCCTTCTGCTCTTTTCCGTAGTTTTCGGTAAGTGCCCCGCCTCGTTTCCTTTCTTTTTTTTTTTTCTTTTTTTTTTTTCGTTTCCTTTTTTTTTTTTTTTTTTTTTTTTTTTTTTAAAGGACCCCAGCAGTACATATGCAGGGGTCCGAACATCTCAAGAGATGTTCAGCAAATTTGTCGTTTCCTTTTTCCAACTACCGAATAACGAATTCTAACAGATCTTAGGAAAAAAATTAATAAAGAAATCTAACCGAACTACTTCCGTTGCGTCCGGTAAGGGCATCTGTCGGCTTCTTGCTGTGTCAGGAGCCTATATTCTTTGAGTCCCAACTAACACTGATCCGCAGGTCATGAGTTCGAATCCCACTTGCCCGATTACGGCCGAAATAATGGTCGGGCGGAGTCTCCTTGCAAAAAGGAAGGAGCTAGCCCAGAAGGTCAGGCGAATTCAATTCATGTGCCGATAGAATGTCAATCCATACTCATACCTACTGGGCTAGCTCCTACTACAGTTATACTCACAGCTTTCTCAGTATAATTCTAATATGGCCTTCCCCTTTCCAGCTGATGCAGCGCCCTCAGCCCCTCATTAGGGAAAGTCACAGATTACTGTAACTGCCGTACCCCACTACGGCAGTCTGGCTACCTTACCAGTTGCCCTGGCCGCATGGCCAGGGCCTCTAATAATTTCACCCTACGTCTTAGTCTGCGGCAAGTAGTTATACTGCCTTGCTTATTTGATACTTCCATCGTCTGCTGATTTAAGCATACCTTCTTAGCTGTCGATAAACTAAGGGAAAGGCGTTGTCGCTTTTCCGTGCGAATCTTTCTACTAATCCTCTTCCAGTCTTTGTGTGGATCAAAGTGGCGTGCAGGGTTATTGAATCGTCTCTGCGTCCGTCACGACAAGGCAGGCGAACATTCAAAAAAATTTAAACATCGATTCTAGTCTGTGTGCGCCGTGTTTTGGCGCTTGTGCTGACAAAATTTTCTCGACCATAGTGGCCGAGGGATTTGCCTCATTTCCCGTTTTAGCCGTCTTCAGTCTGTCTGTTGGCGCCGACGTTGTGTCGACTACAAAATCATGAGCGGATACCCTTGTAAGGGTATCAACTCCGACACCACGTTCTTCGCGCATGCATGCACGCTATAAATTCCGGCTACGAGATTAGTCAGCTCTCTTAACCCGTTGTTGGAAGCTCGGGGTTGCGCGATCAGGAAGGTTCGGCACACTGGCGAAGTAAGAGGTGAGTAGAGTAGGAGTTGGGCGACCCGACGGGCTGGTGCCGACCGTGCGGGATTGACGTGGGCCACGACGGACTGTGGGCACGAGCGAATCTGACGGGTGCGGGAGGACTAAGAGGGGTGAAGACTTCGTGGGTTGGTGCGCGACGACGGACTGTCCGCATCGGAGAAGAGAGGGAAGAGGAGGAGAGAGTTGATGTCGATGGACGCGGATTTGCTGTTTCTTTGTCTCTTCCCCCTCTCTATCTGTGTATATAAATTTTGATTGCGGCTCCGGGCGGTTTGCCCGTTTTCGTTTTCCCTTCATCTTTTCTGGAATCTGGACTTGGGTTTTGCTCACACTCGTCCTTGCGATGTCCGTCTCAATTGCATTATGTGTATGATTGCTGAATGTATGGATGTATGGATGCTAGGTTTGCTTGTCTATCTTTTTTTTACTGAGAACTTGTCCTTGTTTTTGCTTGTGTCGAGTCTTTGCCTACACGTGAGGCAATTGTAAAAGGGGATAAGGATTTGGCCCGTTTTTGTTTGTCTCACGATTGGGATGTAGTGTGATTGCATCGTGCATAACCAAACTCACGGAACAATTAGACGATCCGACGTCGAGCCCTGCGAACGCCGCGCGAGGACATGTGTAAATGTGATTCGAATCGCGCGTTTACACGCATCCCCGTGCGCTGATTCGCCCACCCATAAAAGATTCGCGGCGGAACCGTGATCCCGTACGAGCACGCGGAGGCGCAACTAAGTCCGCATGTCCTGCCCGTGCTCGCGCGAGGTGACGATAACCTGACTCGAGTTATCCCATACACGATGACACCATGACGCGATCTTGGAGCTCAGACTCATCCTACGACCGGGATTATTTCACCCCTTGGATAAATTAACTCTTACGGCAGCGATATCCCTGTCACACGGAGAATCGACTATGTCCGAGGAAATTCCACTGCGCCACCTCTAGCGCCCCCCGGTGCTCTGATTTCCATTCCCCCGACGATACCTACTACTTCATCCACCCGGGATTCGTCGTCATCACTACCAGTTTCCCTCCTTTTCGTCTTCTTCTCCCGTATCACCAACTCAGCGTCGTTCCATGGCCGGCCATAGCCCCCTATTGACCCAACACGCCCTGCGAAAATTGCCGGCGTAGCGGCGAACGGGGAACCCCGGAATTCCGAAGGCCCAACCCAAACCCGCAGCGGCCTACGCCACGTGGCGGCCCCCGACGGCCCAATTTCTCGGGACCTCCTCCTCCGCGGAGGGACTTCTCCGTAAACCGTCGCCCACAGTACCCCGGCCCCATCGGGCCTTGAGTCCCTTGTGCACGAGCCCCTTGTTCCCCTAATTGCATTCATACCCCTAAGACTCCCCCATTTTTCCCAAAAATCCTTGGCACACCCCTTTTCGCACTTCCACGCCCACACCCCACTCCGATCAGGAAGTCGCGCTGGGCGTGAGGTTGGTATCGGAGCCCGACACGTGGCTAGGGTCTTAGGATTGATAGCACGTTAGTTAGGCGACCTGGCTAACCGTGGGCGACCTCGCCCTCGGAACGCGCATAGACGCGACCCTATCGTCACCCGAAGCAGATTGGCTAACCGACGAGCAGCCAATATAGCTGCCAATGTGCCGAACCCGGTGCCACAACAGAATGTTAATCCACCAAATCAACCCGCCCCACGTGCACGAGCTCCCATGACGCCACCAGATCTCTATCTATTTGATCCAGCACACCATCTCGCAGGAGCATGGCTGGCCACACTTTGAGCCCAACAGTATACTGACAATGAAGCGCAGATCAACATTCCCGCCCGATCGGGGGGAGACGCTCATCATTGGTTTAGCACCTACGTATGGGTTGACCTCCCGACCTTCGAACGGGATTTCATGAACCGATTTGATTATGTTCACCCCGAGCAAGCGTTATACATGATCAAGGACCGAGTGCAAAAACCGCTCGAATCCGTTGCGGGATATCGAAACCGGTTCTACAGGATGTTCGTAAAAACTGAGCGAGGTGAACAAGTAGGAAAATATCTATTCATTGACGGACTTTGCAGCCGAACGATAAGGGCTAAGTTGCGGAAGCAATTTTCCCCAATCACTCACACGCTACAACAAATCATGGTTGCTGCAGAAGAAATGAAACGGAAGTTCGCGGCGAACTTCCTGGAAGGAGAAGACTATCCTAGAGAAAGGAATTCGACCGAACTTGCACGAGCGAGAGCGAAATTAGACGCCTTACAGAACAAGTTCGAAAACATGGGGTTTGTGTCAGGACCTGTCACCTATATGGAACAGATAGGCCCCAAACGAGTGATCCTAAGTGAGGTTCCGAGCACGTCAGCTCCTACGATGCACCCACCCGTAAAGATGTTACCCCCGCCACCGATTGAGGCTCCCGTACGATCGAACGAATCAGCAACCATTTTCGAACTAACCAAAACATTGATTAGTTTAATCTAGGAAAGCAAAAAGGAGCAGCGAGAGCACAATGCTCGACTAGAAGCCATGATGAGAAATATGCGGCCCATTGCGGTGCGCGCCCCTCCGATGCAGCAAGGATTAGCCCCGGCACCTGCTCTCGGGGGAACTGCGAACAATCTGAATGTCTGTTACGCCTATCATCAGCCAGGACATCTAGCCCGTGATTGCCCCCACCGACCCCCACAACAGCGAATCGGGGTCACGCCTATGGCTGCGATTCCCATCGCTAACGGACCTGGACGAGTCGGAGCCTTGATGGAAGAAGTAGAGGGTGGGGGAAGTGCCCTGGCCACCACGGAAGAGGCCGCCGAGCTAATCCCGCTAGATCAGTACGTATCACTGGGGTATCCTGGGCTTGGAATGATCGGAACAATCAGACCAGCGCCGGAACCGAAAGAGGTGGCGGAGTGGCGACCGTCTCTAGGAGAAATGGAGTCGGGAGGACCCACCTTCGTCATGGGAGAGATTGATGTACTAAACATCATCCGAGCCTTGGACCATCGGATTCCACTTCCGATCGGTCATCTACTCTCAATCTCCGAGCAAGCCAATGAGCGAATGCTACATCATTGCAAAGCAAACCGGAAGCGATTCGCCCTCGCTCGAACATCGAACGTAAAAGCCAAAAGCTCCACGCCCGAAGAAAATCCAACTGGTACTTCAGATCCGATACGGGTAGGTTTAATCCAGAAAGACGACCATTTCCTATGGATTAAACCAATTCCGTGGAAATCCGCAGAATGTGATATAGAAATTTGGGGAATTCCTTACAGCGCAATTATAGATTCGGGAGCAGCTGTGCTGGCTATCTCACTAAGAGTGGTCGAAAGGGCAGGTAGGAAAAACGATCTGATCATGCTCACTGAGAAAAATCAGCTCGTCTCGGCAGATAAAGAAAAGATCAAAACTGTGGGAAGAATGACCAATGTCGCTTTTCGATTGGGAAAAGTGCATGCGCTTGGGGATGTCGTAGCACTAGATGTTAATATGTACGACGTTCTCTTCGGACTCCCCGCTCTTGTAGCGTTACGAGCAAACCTGGACTTCGAACGGCGATCGATCGTCCTCCGAAATACAGGAGGAAAACCCTACGCTGTGCCTATGCGATTGACCCTTCGTACTACCATTAACACGGTCCCACGGGTTTCGCCGATGATGGCAGGGACGTTCCGCATGATCTCTTGGGATGAATCCGCAAATGGAAAGTCATCAACGAATGATGCGGACAGCAGTGACGAAGATGATCCAGAGATCTTGAAGTTAGCACGACAGCGCGTCTACTACCCACCGCCCAAAACGATAGCGAGAACGATGCAGCTGACCAGCCAAAAAATTCAAAGGACCAAGGCGATGATCTTGGGAGAGCCCCTCGTGCAGATTTCGAGGATGACCGATTCTTTGGAACCCCCTCAAACTATGTACGAAGGAATCACCCCTCTCCTCGCCCGGTATAACAACAAGACGCATTATTGTGACATTACGGATCTACCAAAGTCCTTGTTAACATCTGCTAAAGAAGTGAGATTGTTACGCTTGGGGACGGAAGCAAGTTCTCTGGAACGCCCTGGGCGTTTCGAAGCAGAAACAGACGAACTGGGGATAAAGATCGCAACTAAGGACGTGCCATAGCAGGATGTTTGTGACGGGATTACCCCGGAAGGACACGTAGCCATCCGGGAAGAAGATGCCCAGATGATGGCGACGGTGTTCTCCTGGCGATCGGACCATTCGTTCATCTCGGCGCCTCCGCTAGACATGGCAAAACAGGCGCGCACGAAACAGATTGACGTTCGGATCAGGGACAAACTTTTCGAACTACACGTCCCACAGTACGTGTCGGAAGAAATCCACCGGGTAATTGCGGACATTCTAACGGAATACCAAGGAGCGATTAGTGTGACAGACACTGACATTGGTTTGTCATTAGTAATCCAACATGAGATTTAGACAGGAAGTCACTCCCCAATTCATTGCAAACCTTACCGATATTCCTTGATTGAACGTAAAAAGGCTCTCGAGCGAATTCGGGAGTTCCAAGCCAGCGGCTGGATCGAACCCGCCACCGGACCTTGGTCATTTCCTGTAGCATTAGTACCAAAGAAAAACGGAGCGATTCGCATTTGCATTGATTATCGTAATCTGAATGAGATCACGATCAAAGATGTGTATCCCCTCCACCGGATTGATGATTTGTTGGATGCGATTGGATGTGCTAATTATTTTAGCAAGTTTGATATTTGGCATGGGTTTCATCACATTCTGGTCAAGGAGGAGGATCGGCCGAAGACGGCCTTTGTGTTGTTTGAGGGGACGTGACAGTGGGTTCGGTGTCCGATGGGGATTTGCAATGCGTCTGCCACGTTTCGGCGAGCGATGAACATGACGTTCCAAAATTTCGTCAACGAGACGCGGCTGACACAAGGGATGATTAACTTCTGCATGATCGTGTACATGGACGATATCGTGGTCTACTCGAAAACTTATCACGGGCACGCGCAACATATCGAGTGGACATTGGGCGCGTTGAGAGACGCTGGGTTCAAGATTGCGCTCGAGAAGAGCAAATTTTTCCTCTCGAAAATTTCGTTCTTGGGCTACGTCGTGACACGTGGAGGACTACGATCGGACTCAAGAAAGGTTGCGGCAGTGAAAGAAGCCCCGGTTCCCACGTCATTGACGCAGGTTCGAGCCTTCTTGGGGTTAGCATCGTACTATCGACGCTTCATCAAGGGTTTTGCAGCGATTGCACGACCACTAACGAATCTGTTACGAAAGGACCAGCCTCTCAGTTGGGACGCGGAGTGCCAGCAGGCCTTTGCAACCCTCAAGGACGCTCTGGCAACGGCCCCTATTTTGATTCGGCCGGACCCCTCAAAGCAGTTCATTCTCATCACGGACTGGCAACCGGAAGCTATTTCCGCTATTTTAGCGCAAAAGGGGAACGACGGTCGTGAACACGTCATCGAGTACGCGTCACGCACAGTACCAGACGAACGTCGAAATGACTCCGCACCTCAAGGCGAGTGTTATGCGGTAGTTTGGGGAATCCAACACTTCCATCTGTATCTTTACAGACAGAAGTTTTGCCTCGTGACGGATCACGAGCCTCTGCTAGCTTTGAAGAAGCTCACCAACTACACGCGCATGATTGGCCGTTGGGCAGTGCGACTGCAAGAGTACAACTTCGATATTATCCATCGAAAGACAGAGCGACACGGCAACGCGGATGGGCTGACACGTCTGCATTGACCTGCCAAGGTACCAAAGGGCGAGGAAATTACATCGTGGAAAGAGTCGGACTTGACCAAAGAGCCTAAGTACGGACAAGTGGCAGTTCTCCCACGTGGCGAGAAGCAAAACGGTGGCGATGGGTGATGGAGGTAACCCCACTACCCCTCTTTCTCCCCCTTCCTCCTCGTCTCTCCTTTCCCTACCCGACAAATTTTGCTATTTTTGCAAAGCTATCTCCCGCGTATATTCGGTCTCCATGCGTCCTAACGGGGAAGGGTATGCGGATTGGATAGATTACCGATAGTGTGTCGCACAAGCCCATGGCTCGTGCATCCAATACAGAAACGATAGCAAACCGTGGTTGTGCCCCTTGTGCCGGACCGACAAGATTCCGACCGAGGCTCGCTTTTTGGATGCCACGTCAGAAGGGTTGGAAAAGACCCGGAAGTTTAGAAGGGCCGAAGTATGGACTAATATTGCCTTAATTACCACCCTAGTAGGTAACCCCCTCCAGGATTTCACCAAGGAAGATCGGAGGAGGGCCAACGAAAGGGCTCGGGATTATCGGTGGATAGAAGGTAGATTAGAAAAACGGAAAACGGACGGCGGTGGGATTTGGATGGTGGTACCGCATCCGTTCATGCGGTATGACTGGGTTAGGACAGCCCACGAGGAAACAGCGGCTCATTTTGCTGTACGAATCACAGAGTCCGCTATCGACAAAAATGAGTGGTACTGGTCCAATATCCGCGACGATGTAAAATACATCGTCGCCAACTGTCAAGTCTGCGCCGCTGATAAAGCGTCGATTCAGCCACCAAGATCGATAGTGCCCACGGTAGTTGAACGGCCATTTCAAAGAGTAAGCATGGACACTACCGACATAGTGGTGCCCCCTGGCCCTAATAGCTGTGAATATTCAGTCCTATTGGTATTTGTCGACCATTTCTCGAAATGGATCGAGGCGTATCCTTGTCGCACGCGGCAAGCCACGGAAATCGTGCGATACGTCAACCGTTTCCTCGGGATGCATCAGGATACGGAAGAAATCCTGATCGACAACAGGGCTGAATTTAGGGGAGAAGTGCTAAGGAATCTGGTCCTACATGGCGTCGCCATACGGAACACTGCACCCACATGTCACAATCCAATGGGCTGGTCGAGAACGCTAACCGGGTGATAAAGACAGCATTGCGACGAAATATCGCGGCGCGGGATCCAAGGCCCTTGCCCGATATCGTCGATCACATCCCGGCGGTCTATCGTGGAACGCCCCACGAATCGACGGGGTGAAGCCCCTTCCAATTAAGGACCAATAGCGTCGCTTGCGTTTTGATACCAAGCCTCCCAGATGAGTCGACACTGAACCGACGGCCCACCAGGGCCACGGCTCGGGACAAGGCCAAACGGCACCTAGAGCTAATGGAACGGTCGCTGCCCAGGCTAGCCCGAAAACGATAGAAAATGACCGAACTAGCCCAAGGCCGACAGGTCCGAAGCTACGAGGCCCGAAATGGGAATGCGGGTCCGCGGCCCCAGTACAAATTGAGGGACGTGGTGCAGGTAAGGAAATGTGTTCGCCAGGGTAAGCTAGCGCCAGGGTAAGCTAGCGCCCGGTCATCAGGAACTTATCACGCAAGAGCTCACGATCCCGGTAGCGCAGCTGGCGGACGATCTCCCTCTCGATATTATCTCGCAAGACGACGAGCATCCAGTTCCCCATGTGCTCTCTCGCACATTGACACCTTACCTTCAGTGGTCGGCTTGCGTAGAGGGAGCCGCAGAACGCATCCCGCCGTCGCAGCAACAATACTTGGATCCCCGGACGGCTCGCGATCCTGCCTTCTTCGGGCACCCTACAGCAGGGCAGTTTGCTGCCATTCGAGAAGAAGAGGAGGAAGAAGAGAGCACCGGGAGTGACGAAGACGAAGGCGCGCGGGAGGAAGGCGGGGATAGCGACGAAGAGCTCGATGAAGAAGACGAAACCCCTGAGGAAGGAAGTTATAGCGAGCATAGTGAGGGGGAACCGAGCGAAGAACAAGAAGAAGACGAGGAAGGAGAAGAGGAGCACGAAGAAGAATCTGTTGGATCAGAGTGGGAAGTCGTGCCGGAAGAAGCACTGCGTACGGGCACCGAGGCTGAAGATCCCGAGGCGGCCCACAAAAGAAAAGAGATCGCGACCGGGAAGAAGGAGTTAGAACTCGCAAGCGCGGTGAGTCCGCAGATCCACGACGACCCGAACCGAGATCCGGAGCCACCCCGACCTGAAGATGGCGACCTCGCGGCCACGACTCCGACCCCATCAGCGTGGCGACGGAGCCGATCCCCCTCCTCCCCGACCCGTCCCCCAGTTCTCCGCTGTACCGATACGGGCGATCGGCCTTCGTCCCCGATCACTCTCTCGCCGTTCCCTTGACTACCTCACCCTCCGCCAGCTCACCACCCCCGTCACGTTCCCCTCCAATCCGTTCCCCCGTAACACCTTCCGTCACTTCTACGCCGCTCGCCTCGCTGTAGTAGTGCATCCCCACCCCTCCATCCGATGCGCCGTCACGGCCTTCTGCCTCCATGTCTTGCTCCTTAGTGCCGCGTGGCGAGGCCACAATATGATCGAGGTTTATTGCGTGATAACGGGGACCATCCCCGCATGCGAAGACCGCGATCGTTTCCTCGCGGCGCTCTTCTGAACTCTCGCCACCCTCTATCCCGATTATCTCGTGTCCCTCCCTTGCACTGGCAATCGATTCCCCCGTTTTCATCTCATTGTTCGTTATCAGGAGCTCCCGGAGACTGTAGCGGGAATGGAAAGTCTCCTGCCCCTGCTAACCATAGACCCTCCACCCCGCCATGCCGCCATGTACGGACTTCCTTTCCCCCTCTCGGTTAATTACTGATGCAGCAGGTAATGGACGCGTGTCGCGACGACGGCACGAGAGAGATCCCGTCCTTGGGTCGTCGAGAGCCCAATCTGAGGAACTAGTAGAAGAGCAGTGTTGCCACGTTGGATGACGTCCACACGCAATTGAACGGTAATTGGCATAGAGAGAAGTTCTCCACGTGTCGGTCGATTAGAGAAATCGACACGTGTCGACAAGCAAGCAGGAGCTTGCTAATATTGGAACCCCCTGGGCGTCACATATGTGACGAACCACTTTCTGTAACGCGCAATTTTCTGCGCGGATGCAACGAGGGGTCCTAAGCTGGGAAGGTTGGGCCAATTACGGGAGATCGGGTTCGATGGAAAGTTGCATCAGTGTCCTTGCTTTTTCGTCTTTTTCGTCACTTCTTTTCAATTGACTGGGTTCGGAGCTGGGTGTCCTGAGACGGCGGGTTGATTGATTGGTCGGCTGGATGTCTGGAGCGCCGCCGCATGCGCGATTAATAAAAGTTGACGTCGTTTTTTTCGTTTCGGTTTCGATCTTTTGGGCGCGGACATCGCGCGGGAAATTGCTTCGTTCTTTTTGAATTTTTCTTCTAGTCTTTTTCGAATTTTGTCGAGCCCCGATGGCTCTCGGAATTTCGGACTTTCCCTCTGGAATTTGTGCTTTTTGCTCTTTTGCATTAGTTAGGAATTTAGGAATTCAGTAATTAGGATTTTCTTGCAGCGCGGCGCCTTTTGTCTACGCGCTTCTTCATGCGGCTGCAACGGTACTCTGATTAGTGGGCGCCCTTAATCGTGTGCGTAACTGTAATTTTGGGCGGGCGCCATTGTAACTGTATCTTTCTTCTTGCACTTCGTCTCTCTCGCCCTCCCTCTCTTTCTTTTGATGAAATTTTTGTAAGCCGCGGCTTGCATGCTCGGATCGATGCGTGGAGAAGGGTTACGTCCCCCACGCCGCGGCCCATCATGCAGAACGCAGGCGCTCCCTCTCTAATCCCCACTCTAAGTCCTGGTAATTCTGCGTTCTTCGCGCATGCATGCACGCTATAAATTTCGGCTGCACGATTAGTCAGCTCTCTTAACCCGTTGTTGGAAGCTCGAGGTTGCGCGATCAGGAAGGGTCGGCACACGGGCGAAGTAAGAGGTGAGTAGAGTAGGAGTTGGGCGACCCGACGGGCTGGTGCCGAACGCGCGGGATTGATGTGGGCCACGACAGACTGTGGGCACGGGCGAATCTGACGGGTGCAGGAGGACTAAGCGGGGTGACGACTTCGTGGGTTGGTGCGCGACGACGGGCTGTCCGCATCGGAGAAGAGAGGGAAGAGGAGGAGAGAGTTGATATCGATGGACGCGGATTTGTTGTTTCTTTGTCTCTTCCCCCTTTCTAACTGTGTATATAAATTTTGATTGCGGCTCCGGGTGGTTTGCCCGTTTTCGTTTTTCCTTCGGCTTTTCTGGAATTTGGACTTGGGTTTTGCTCACACTCGTCCTTGCGATGTCCATCTCGATTGCATTATGTGTATGATTGCTGAATGTATGGATGTATGGATGCTAGGCTTGCTTGTCTATCTTTTTTTTACTGAGAATCCTTGTCCTTGCTTTTGCTTGTGTCGAATCTTTGCCTACACCTGAGGCAGTTGTAGAAGGGGATAAGGATTTGGCCCCGATAGCGATTTTGTCCTCGTTTTTGTTTGTCTCGCGATTGGGATGTAGTGTGATTGCATCGTGCATAACCAAACTCACGGAACAATTAGATGATCCGACGCCGGGCCCTGCGAACGCCGCGCGAGGACATGTGTAAATGCGATCCGAATCGCGCGTTTACACGCATCCCCGTGCGCTGATTCGCCCACCCAGAAAAGATTCGCGGCGGAACCGTCATCCCGTACGAGCACGCGGAGGCGCAACTAAGTCCGCCTGTCCTGCCCGTGCTCGCGCGCGGTGACGATAACGCGACTCGAGTTATCCCATACACGATGACACCATGACGTGATCTTGGAGCTCAGACTCATCATACGACCGGGATTATTTCACCCCTTGGATAAACGAACTCTTACGGCAGCGATATCCCTGTCACACGGAGAATCGACTATGTCCGCGGGAATTCCATTGCGCCACCTCTAGCGACCCCCGGTGCTCTGATTTCCCTTCCCCCGACGATACCTACTACTTCATCCACCCGGGATTCGTCGTCATCACTACCAGTTTCCCTCCTTTTCGTCTTCTTCTCTCGTATCACCAATTCAGCATCGTTCCGTGGCCGGCCATAGCCCCCTATTGGCCCAACACGCCCTGCGGAAATTGTCGGCGTAGCGGCGAACGGGGAACCCCGGAATTCCGAAGGCCCAACCCAAACCCGCAGCAGCCTACGCCACGTGGCGGCCCCCGACGGCCCAATTTCTCGGGACCGCCTCCTCCGCGGAGGGACTTCTCCGTAAACCGTCGCCCACAGTACCCCGGCCCCATCGGGCCTTGAGTCCCTTGTGCACGAGCCCCTTGTTCGCCTAATTGCATTCATACCCCTAAGACTCCCCCACTTTTCCCAAAAATCCTTGGCACACCCCTTTTCGCACTTCCAAGCCCACACCCCACTCCGATCAGGAAGTCGTGCTGGGCGTGAGGTTGGGCGTCACAGTGCGGCGAGGCCCATAGAGGTAACCAAGAGGGGAGAAGGGAAAGAAACTGCTTACACCTAGATGCATTGTCCACATGCCTAACCTGAACCCGGTCAAAATAGCAACCAAGGGAGTGAGAGAACTCCCCTTATCTTAGTGGCTCTGGGATTATTGGAATATATAGCCTACTGCGGCCCAAACATCAATCGAGGGCCCAGGTTGAAAGGATATATCTGAAAAGTCCTGGGATTACTGTTCATTGCTGAGGAGGTAACTGCTGAGAGAAAAGATTTGGTCACAGCCCTAGGAAACAATAAACATCCCACTCTGAGTTTTAAAATGTATTAATGGGACATTTTCTGTGCTAAAAGATGTATCAATGGGACGCTGGACCCGGTGTCCAGCAGGTGACGCTCCCCACCAATAGATGGAGCAGCCCAACAAATAAGCTCTCAATTCGGACGGTTCTCTTACCACCGCCGGAATAGAGGGCTTACGTAAAGGGCTATTTCCCCCCCCCCCCAAAAAAAAAAAAAAAAAAAAGGTTTGAAAATCTAGAACCTATATAAGAACCTATAGCTCCAGTGTCCTCAAGAAAAACCAACAGGATCGTACTAAAACTAATCTAGAATTATACAACGAGGCTTGCTACTTGATGACAACAGAACATTGAAAACCAGTTCCCCTTTAATAGAGGGAACTGCCCAACAAAACGGGGAAGTCTGGTTTGTGTTTGGCTTTTTAAGCCTTGATGGCGTACTTCTTTCTTTTTCTTATTTTCTTTCCCAGGGTTGGGATGTGTCAGGGCAGCGGCCCAGATTTGGCCACTCTGCCACTAGACCACAGTGCCCCAAGGCCTGCACCTAAGCTGGGTAATGGTCCTTGTATGGTTGGTTGTTCCGGGTTGTTCGTTGAGGATTCCCGGCCTCTCCTTTTGTGTGGTAATAAAGAACGAGCAGAGTTTCCTTGTAAAAAAAAAAAAAAAAAAAAAAAAAGGGAAGCCAAGAGGGTTTTTTTTTTTTTTTTTTAATAACGACGGCAAAAAAAACTCGCACCGGCAGAGAAACGACGCACCAACTCAAAATGAGCGATTTCGGTCCAAAAGTATCCGGTGTTTTTTTGTTTTGTTTTCCCCTCTGACACCATGGCTGACCCCTATAAATATGACACCCGGTCTGACACCACGACAGTCGGTACTTCCATTGCCTTTTTTAACTCGGTGCCGTTTTTATTGCCGACTCGTGATTTTTTTGCCCATTCGATACATGAGCGTACTTACCTTTTTTTTTTTACACCAAGGCTGATTCAGACCTACTAGGCAAGGTGATAAGAGTAGCCTTACCTAGTAGATCCCTACGAGGGCACTCCATCTATTGCTGGGGAGTATCACCTGCTGGAAAACGGGTTCAGCGTCCCTTATACAAAATGATTCAGGAAATGCCTGGGAAGATAACTGAGAAAAATCCGCCAGCATTGATTGCTCTGGCTTCCAAAGGATTAAACCACCAGTACCTACCGGTTGTCAGGGCCCGTGGCTCAGGCTACCGGTAGCGCGGTCATTGTCGAGCCTCAGGCTTTATTGCCCAGCCTCGGACAACCGGTAGTACACAACGGAAAAAAAAAAAAAAAAAAAAAAAAA